TACTTAATTAAGTAAATAATAAAAAATGAAATAACAATCATCAGTTATCATTAATGTTTATTCAAAGCATGCCCCATAATAATTACTGAATACAGTAATTAAACCTTAAATAAGAATCAATATTTATTAACAATCATTAAAATTATTAAGCCAAATAATTAATGTTTATTCTTAAATGCAAAATCTGAATTAACAAATCTATTATATAATAATTATACTCGGCTGAAAAAAATATTTAAATAATTACAAATTTAGTTATTATTATTACTATACAACAAAAATTTTAAGTTAAATACTAAAATAAATTAATAATAATATGAATGGTTAAATTAAATGCAATAAACGGTTCAAGTTGAATTTAATGACCCATATACTTTTACGGGTTTGACATATAAGGGTCAATTTATGTGGACCTGTAGACTGTATGAATGTCTTAAAAAATGGTAATAAAAGTCATTAATGTTTATATATATATATATATATATAATTAACTTCCCCGTACTTAGTACGGGGTCATTCACTAGTTTGTATACATACTTATCTATTTACATACATATATACATAAATATATATATATATATATATATATATATATATATATATATATATATATATATATATATATATAATTTTAGAGTGGGTTCATTGACCAACCCGATCCCAACCCGAGTTCATCAAATTACAGTGCTGGCTGGGATCGAGTTGGAAAAAATCGGGCTTGAATTCGGACTTGATCCAAACAGATTGACCATAAACCTGGCACAACCCACCCAACTTGCACCCCTAAAATCATCATCAGCTGGCACAGGAAATTCAGATCCCACAGGCATCCAAACTTGTTTAGTAAAACTGCATTTAAAGTATAAATGCTTAAAGATTTCATCTTCCCCACAGTGGATTCCATGCACTATCAATATTAAAACCCTTGATGATAAGCTTATTTTTAGTAGTAAGCTTACCACAAAAGACCAGAAATATGACGACTTTTAGCATTCGGGGAATCCAGTAGGCAAACAAAATGCAAATATAATCAATCGCCTATATGGTGCTGATGTATCACTGAAACAGAATCACAATAAATACACAACACCCTGATACCAAACACCCACTTGAGACTTTGAGAGATTTTAGTATAATTCACAAATGGGAGCCACTTCTAATTATCAAGATATAAATGACATAACGCTATCTTAAATAAAAAAAAAATAAAGAAAAGAATCACTTCATTTCACTTGACATCCAAACGCCAGACTGATTTGTTTCCTTCAGATTAAAACCCAGTAATCCGAGTCCGGATTTGCTCTCGACAAGCATTCAGGAGGAGGGTCAAGAGAAGCTATTAAAATTGGGGAGAAATCAGCTACTCCACTTGATGTATTACTTGGCTAAAATTGTGAAATCATTCCCTTTTAATGCAGTACCGTAACCCCATTAAGCAGCGTGTAAACGGATCGAATTCTAATGGCATGAGGCAATATCCAAATTCGAATTTGATTAAAAGAAAATTTAATATCCGAATTCTATTCGATATCTGACGAATATTGAAAATTAATATTCGAATTTTAAATATTTGAATATTCAATTCGATTCGAATTTGATTAATTAATTATTTTAGATAATTAATAAATATATAAAATAAATATTTTATTGATATAAAGTATATAAATATATAAATTATTTATATAACATAATTATTATATATATTATATAAAATATTTTATATAAGAATTAAATAATCGGTCGAATTCTGATATTTATCGAATCGAATCAGGTCATATCCGAATTTAAATCTGATTAACTATTCGGTAAGAATATGATATCCGAATTTGACCGATTAGACATTCGAATTATCCGAATTTAATTCGATTATGTCGAATATCGAATTTGAAATCAGATTTTCGAATACCGTTGACACCCCTACCACTAAACGACTTCATCCAATTTAAAGTAGGACCACATAGATCGGCTTCTATCAGGGCAAACCTGTGCCTATACCGTAACAGCCTTTTGCAACCTTGCATTGGGAATATCTCCCCATGAAATAAAGCACACAAGTAGAGAGGTATTCTCAATGCAAGACAATAAAGGCTGCGGGCTTTGCTAGAGTCCCTGACTGAAGCTGAACTCAGACCACATTCCACAACAATACATTGAGGACTGTGACTCACGGTTTAATCCAACACTATTTCATTGAGAGTAGGTTATTTTTGAATTATTGAGATTTGAGGGTCATTTGGCAAGTCTTTCTAAATAGATCTTTTAACAGCCCAAAAAGATGCATTGATCTTTTGGGGTATTGTCTTTAAAGACCAAGACTTATTAGGTTTGCATCATGGTCTATCTGGTTGTTAAATAACTAGAAAGGCTATTTTCAATGCAAAAACCAAAAAACTTCATTTGAAGTTTTCTTGGCCTTTTCGGTCTTTAGGCTTTCCACATACCCATCTTCAGGTCTTTCGGTCTACACGATGCCAAATGGAAAAGAACATTTTTTAGTCCTTTGAACTTTCTGTAGATCGAAAGATATGCCAAACACCATCTAAAACTAGCTTCACCTTTTATTGTATTGTTTGAGCAGCTTTGACAAAGCTATTAATCCAGGAGGACATGCCAATATATATATATATATATATAATCGCATATCAGAAATATCTCCAACATGTTATTGTTCATGGAGAGATATTCTCAATGCAGGGCTGTAATATACTATAAGATTGGTGTGAGACGCGTTTAGTGGGGAGCAAATTCACATTCCTGTTGGACCAGCCTTGCATCGAGATCACATTTTCGCATTCTTGTACTTTATTTCATAGGGAGAGAGTTCAAATATATATTCTCAATGCATGGCTGTAATGTACTATAAGATTGGTGTGAGACGCGTTTAGTGGGGAGCAAATTCACATTCCTGTTCGACCAGCCTTGCATTAAGATCACATTTATGCACTCCTGTACTTTATTTCATAGGGAGAGAGTTCAAATCTGTGCCCCACCCGGTTTCGCCCCACACGCTCAATGTGCGCCACCTGTCCCTTCACACGGTTTCACTAGTAGCGCGTCCATTACCCCTCCAAAAGTCTCAAACCATTTCATTCGAAAGACTAGGGTATCTCAAAGTTCCCTTCTCTCTCGTCAGAGTTCCCTTTCCTTCTTCGGCACCGACGACCTACAATGACAACCGGCGGTACTCTCCAACTCACCTTTTCACATATTTTTTATTTTTATTTTTTCTGAAATTTTCGTTTTCCAAAGATCAGAGAAATCGGCGGCAGAGTTAAAAGCGATAAAGATGCCAAGCTCTTCTTCATGAATACCTATCTGTTTGCTGCCTACACAATTCTCAGCCTCGTCAATGGCTTCGCCAACTACTTATATGGCTTTGGTTTGTCCCGTCTACCCATCACAACCGGTGGTTTGATAGGTTCCACTCAACTGATCTTCACAGCAGTGTTTGCATTTATTTTGGTTGGGCAAAGGTTCATGTTTTACTCCATAAACTCAGTTGTTTTGTCAACCATGGGTGCAATAGTTCTTGCCCTCCATGCAAGCTCTGACCGCCCTGCTAATGAATCCAATACACAGTATTACGTGGGTTTCGCTATGACAGTCAACACAACTCTGATTAATGGATTGACGCCTCCTCTGATTGAGCTCATGTACAAGAAATTGAAGCATGGCATAATCTATTCTCTAGTAATGGAGATTCAGATTGTAACATCCATCTTCTCCAATATTTTCTGCACCATTGGTATGCTGGTCAACAATGACTTTCAGGTCTCTCTCTCTCTCTCTCCATGGGGCTCTTGAGAGGGATCCCAAAGAGTTCACTTTTGGTTGGTCATTCCATGGGCGCAAGCATCCTTTGGAGGAAATGGACACAAAATCAGGATTTCCTTGAGGCCTAAACACTCTCTTTTAGGTATGATGTTCAGCCCTAGTCTTGTGTCCATCCCAGGGAGATCGAAACGGTGCTTGCTTCTTTCATGGAATGAGTCAAATTAAACTAAATTAACCTCAAATGACCTTGAATTTCCACTTGGAAACATGGTTTGAAGGATTGATATCACTTAGAAAATTTCCAAGGAATGAGTTATAACTTGTGGATAACCGGAGAAGGAGAAGAGAACTCTGCTGCTAGTTTCTCTGATTTCTGGAAAACGAAAATATCAGAAAAAAATAAAAAATGTGTGAAAAGGTGAGCTGGAGAGTAACACCGGTTGTCGTTGTAGGTCGACGATGCTGGAGAAAGAGAAGGAAACTTTGAAATATTCTAGTCTTTTGAATGAAATGGTAGTCTTTCGAATGAAATGGTTTGAGACTTTTGGGGTGTAACGGAAGGGGCTAACAGACGTTCCGTTAGTCCCGCACGACTCGTTAGCCCCGCACGTGCTATCAGCAGAACGTGTAAAAAAACAGATGGCGCACATTGAGCGTGTGGAACATTTGTGGGGCGAAATCGGGTGGGGCGCAGATTTGAAGTTAGATATTCCCAATCGTTATAATGGTGTTCGAACGGGCTTTGCACTCACTGAATCCGGTTTCAGGGACCGGGAGAGAGAGAGGTTAAGATAGTCATTCATAGGAAGACGAAATTAGCACTGGCGGGGAGAGTTCTGCAAGGTGGTACGACCAATGCCTTCGAATGCGGGAAGCCGGAACCGCCACCTCTCTCTCTCTCTCTCCTTTTTCGGAGGAGAGACAGCAAATAAAACCCCGGTTGATATCTGAACAGAAGCTTTGATTGTTGTAGCCAAAATGATAGGATGGTTGAAACAGTTGCAGGCTGCCTTTGGCACTTCCTTCCTATGGCTTATCTGCCTGGTTTACTTTACTCAGGTATGAATCTCTTCTACGTAACCAGGTTTTCTTTCTCATAGATTTAGACGATATGCATGTGATTCACTGTTCCGGATTTTGTTTCTTTTGCTTTGTTGGATGTATCTAAGTCATGGGTTATTGGCTTTTGAGGCTTTGTTGAGTTGGAAGTTGGAACGATATTTTGTCTTGAAACTTTGATGGGCTGAAAGGATTTAGGCTTTCGTGGCTCGGGCTTCTAATATTTATCTGGATTTGGTGTCTTGAATTTTCTTTCCATGATCTTTAACTTTTTTAAATATTGTCTGACTTTCTTCGTTGTTTTTGATCTGTTTCGGTATAACAGAGAGACTGAAAAGGATAGACATAAACAGGAAGTGCTGACTGTTACTTTCCATATATCAACATCCTTTATGTTGCATGAACACTTAAGAATGGGTGCCATGTCCATGTCAGACACTTCAATTTTTTAAACGAATTTGTGTGAAACACCTTGGCCATGCTGTGCCCTTCCCTTGTCTGTGTAGAATAGTGTAATGGCTATGCATTTGCATGAAGTTTCATATTGTGCACGGGATGTGTAGTGGCTATGCATTTTACGTTGCCATTGAGGAAATTGGCGTTTGGTTGGGAACAGGGCGGATGATTGTCATGTTACTGAAAGTTCTGCTGATATCTAGCCATTTCTTGCTTAGTCTTTTCACATAGATTTTAATTCCCTTTCCCCTGAATGTTTGCAATTGGCAGGGTGCTGCCAATCTAGATGACACAGAATGACAAGACTGCAAGCTATGTATATTGATTTTCGTTTTAAAGTCTATTAGGAGGTTATTATGTTGTCTGAATAAGTGCCTCTGCGGGTGGATCTTTTATTATTTTAGTGTCGCCAAAGGGAAAATTTTTCTATTGTTTGGTTATGTGAGCATTGAAATCTTTCAATTGGAGGAGCCATTGCAGCCAATTTATCATTGTTGTGGTTGACTGTGTTGGAATGAGCTTACAGTTCTCAATATTCTAGAAAAGTATTTCCAATTGAATCAACCCTTCATTGGAATTAGATCTTTGGTGGTACTAGGCTGAGTCTACTTTCCTTAATGACAGTTTCCTGAAGGTGCATCCTTTTTGGTGCAAAATGCATCTTTTATAAGCCTGATGTATCCAGTCATGAGTTAGTTGAGAAACGAAGAAATGGAGGCAAAGTTAAGGATAATCTTTCATTAGTCTCATAAACCTTCTCTTGTCAGGATTGGAGGAAAAAAAATAAAATGACAAGGTTGAACTTCTTCCATTTCCTGTCTTTTCTTCTAACATCTTCTATTGACTCTTAGTATACAAGCATAGGATCCGGTGCTCCATAATAACTTTATTTATTTATTTTGGCAGCTCCAAACTATGTCCATGTTGTATGGCTATAGGATTTCTTTGTATGCTTTTGAGAGTATACTTGTTAATGTCATCATTGCTGATTTGTTTGTCCTATTGAGTACCAAATGCTATCACGTAGGCTTTACTCAAGGTAAATTGCAAAGATAACAATATACTGTCAAGGGATCTGTATCTGTTAAACCCAAATAGGTCGAAACATAATCTCTCTCTAGATATGAAATTTATAATATGTGCATCGTGGAGCTTCATTGCATTTCCTTGTGCAATCCAATCATCTGGATATTAGGGATGGGTATTTTTGAAGAATCGAAATATATATGAATATGACGATTTTCTAACTACTGTTTACACTATAATTGTTTTAAAGAAGCATACTTAACATACCTGTCATCATGTCTGCTATTTGATTGTGTTGGGACCCAAACACTCCCTCCGAACCCAACTGTAGGAGTGGAGAAGGCCACCACCGAACAGCATTTCACTAGAAGACAAAGAGGCTAGCGTGACACGCGGCAGAGTCTCCCAGAGTTAGTTACACTCAGAGCCTCCCAGAGTTAGTTACACTGCCGCCAGAAGATATTCTCTCCATGATTGCATACATGTAGGCCAGCTATATAAGGCCCTGATCATGTAATAAGTGGCGTGAATGAATATCCCTTTCATCTCTGTCTGAGTCATTTTCTTCCTACCTTTCCCCTCTCTCCCCCCCATCTTCTGTTTCAGGAGGTTAAGCCACCTTCGAAGGGGCTTCCGAGGTGAGCGGTAACTCATCAGATTGCTGCACTAAAATGGTGATTCTATATACTATATAATATTAGGATTAAACTAGGTTTTCACCCAGTTTCCAGGAATTAGAATGATGGGTAACCAATTATTCCTTTCAATACCACATGCCTTAATTGGGTGGTAACCTGGAAGAACAAATATAGACCACACCATGAGAGAGTCCACCCATCACAGACTCCTCATGGTTATAGAGCTTAAAATGGATAGAGGTCCATGTGTCTATATCCATTACAATTGAATGGTTGAGGAGATCTCATCCACACCATCCAATCTAAAAACACCTGTGTCTACAAGGTTAAATAGAAAACAAAATAAAAAAATAAGAAGGATAAAAATCAACAAAACCAAAATCATCCTACAGTTTTCAAGCACAATTCCCGAGCTGCATCTATGTTAGCTTTTGTTCTTATAAAGTTACTTTCAGAGTTGTTATTCTAAATGATGCTTACATATCTAAATTGACCACATATAAGTTTCTCCAAATTTTCTTACTTACATGTATTTAAATTATTTTCTTTTCTTGAATACAAATTGTTGTATTTAAATGTAGGGTTTCAGATCTTTTGTATGGACGGCTGTTTCTTATCAACTAAAGGACAGACTTAAGTTGTCACCCTCGGCTTCGCAGTTTGTATTTTCAGTTGCATATTTCCCATGGAGTATAAAACCATTATATGGGTAATGTCTGTTCTTCATCCATGCCAATCTTTTATATAAACCTCTGTAACTTGGAAATGACAATTCATTGGTGTTGTGCTAAGAAATGGGTGTTTTACCTGGCAAGGTTGGAGGCCCAAGCAACAGATTGATAAAACTATAAAAGTGCATATTCATGTAAAGATAAAAAAGGAAAAAGTCGGAAAAGTAAACTATTTCAAGAAAACAAAAGATAATTAGTTAATAAATCTTGGTGTTAGGGTTGTATCTCTTTTTTATCTACTGGTATTTTTTTATCCATTACTTTTGTGGATTATTTTCTGAAATAAAGTTTAGAGAAAATTATAAAAGGTATGATTTAATTACCTATGCCAACTTAGGACAGTTCAGGAAACTGTTTGCACTAATTTCCTTTATAAAGTTATGCCTGATAAGTCCTAAATCTAGAGCAAACCTCATTATGTGTTACTTGAATATTTTAACAATCTTTATATTCTTCCTCCCTGTTATTAGGAATGAAACTTAGCCTTTTAGAATTACGTTATCCAAAACCCAAAAGGATAAATGATTAATTATATAAAATAAAGATAAAAATGAAATAAAAGGAAAAAGAAAATATATTTTGGCTATGTAGAAATTTGCAGAAACAAAGGAAAAATAAAGAAAAAACTACTTTTATCTTTGATGAGATTCTCCTAAACAATAATAACAATCAATATAAAGGTCATTGGATGTCTAAAAAGCCATTTTAGAAATAGTTGAGCAATGGTTGGATATAAAGATAACCTAGGACACAAGTTTCTATTGAAGGATTTTTTTTTTTTTTTTTTTGCAAATCATCTATTTCATATTTCTAATTCCTTAATTGTAAGCAACAATTTAAAAGCGCCCTTATTAGCAACTTTCCCAGAGTTTTATTTATTTATAATCATCAGACACTACTCAACCCAGCCTTAATCCCAACTATTTGAGGTTGGCCATACAAATCCTGTCCCACCATTTTTCTCTCTCAAGAGACATGTTTTCCATAAAATTGTTAGTCCTTGTATAATTCCTTACCACTCAAGTACACATTTTCTTTGGTCTTTCCCTTGCTCTTTCAGAGCCTTCTACTTGCAGTATGTGGCTCCTCACTATGGTTATCCATACATATGACCAAACCCTCTTGGTCAACTTCCCTTAATCTTGTCTTTAATTGGGATTACTCATAAGTCTTCTCTAACTTGCTTGTTCTACATCTGTCTTTTCTGATCTTTCCACTCATCCATCTCAGCATTCTAATATCAAATATTCTCATTCTTTGGACATGTTTTTCTTGATTGCCCAACATTTCATCCCATATAGCACTGCTGCTCTAATAGCAATCTTATTATAAAATTTTTCTTTCAGCCTCTAGTCATTGGAAACTCATCTTAATTTGGCCTGTTTTTTGATGTGGTGGATTGGCTATCAAGAGATCAACTTAAAAAAGTTAAAACAATAAATGCTTTGGTCACTTAAACTCTGGATGCACCAATTTTGCGTATCAAGAGTATCAATACTGTGAACCTTGGTTGTACCTTTGACATATCAAAAGGTGTATCTTTTTATATCTTGTGATACACATACTTTATCCCTTCATGTATGAGTTATTACTGAAGTTGAGAAATTAATTAATAAAAATTTTTTAGTAGTAACCATGATGGGGTATAGTATCCAATATCTCTCCTCTCTCCAGCTCAAGCCCTTGCTGTTGTATTTACATGCAGGATATTATCAGACTGCATCCCTATAAGAGGAAGGAAACGACTCCCATACTTGATCATTGCAACTGTACTCTCTGTATTACCATGGCTAATTCTAGGGCTGAAAGCATCTCTGGGAAGGTCAATGGGACTTCTCATGATCTTCTTAACAACTCAAAACATAGGCTCAGCCATGGCAGATGTTGTGATTGATGCAATGATCGCTGAGGCTGGACGGTTTGAGAGGTATTCAAAATTTCTCTGAATTTCCTGGTTCTCTGGATATGTGAGCATGGAGGCACCCAATGACTATCTCTGGATACATGTGCACATGCACAGGATTTGGAACCACCGTTTGATAGTTCCTCATTGGAGGTCACCCATTCCACCTTAGAACAAGATGAATTTGATTTATCACATTAGTTTGTCTCTGAAGATAGTAAATTTTCCTGAAAAAAATATATAGTAGATGGTGATCTCCTAAGTGACAGCCACCGGCTGATTTATGCCACCCTTAACATGTTTGCCCCATATACATGTATGATGGTTGGCCATGTTTATGGTCTCCCAGACAGTAATCTGACATTGTCATTTATCTTAGAGTGATCTGACTTGAAAATTTCTATTGCACTTGACCAGAGCAGCCTTTACTGGAGATCTCCAGTCAATGTCTTGGTTTTCAATGGCCCTTGGAGGAATATGCGGGAATTTGTTGGGAGGATATGCATTAAAGAACTTACAGATACCTACAATTTTTCTCCTTTTCTCTGCATTTCCAACCATACAGCTCTTATCATGTGGTTTGGTTAAGGAGGATTCTGTAGGCACCAAAAATTTTCCAGGTCTTGCTAACCTAGAAAGATCTCATAATGGTGGTATTTCAGATGCAGATATCTCCACAGTCAAGAAGCATAGTTTCACCACTTCAAGGAGAAAAAAGAGCCATAAAAGCAGAAAAAAAAGGACAATTGTCACAAGTAGATCTGAGAATCTAGCTAAAGATGGCTCCTCAGTTGCATGGTGGTTTCAATCTCTGAAATCAGCGCTTTATAGTTTGTGCAAGACGTTTGTGCAACCTGATATTTTGAGGTAGTTTTTGAGGAATTCTAAGGCATCCTTGTACATAGACCCTAAGGATGACTAACCAGTGGCATGTAGGTAAATTTGGTATGCTGAGTGGTGATCACCATCTAGTGGCCCTTCCCTAGGTTATCACCTATGCTAAAGACAACTAAATCAGATGATTGTAAGCATCCAATCTGTCAAATTGTTTTTGAATAGTCGGACTATTATACCAATAAATTTGATTTCACTATATGCTTAAGATCATCTGTTTAAGCTATGGACTATTGAGTTGGACTCATCACTCTACATGTTCTCTGAATATGCTTCTTCACCACTGGCAGGCTTGCTTAGGGTCAAAATATGCTTTAGATCTTTCTCTGTCTCTCATACATTTGGCAAGAATTCTGTTGGTTTATCTTTGTAATCATGGGTACTTTTTCTTAAACGTGATTATGTTTCTGGAAGAACAGACCAATGGCGTGGTTTTTCTTAGCCCATATTACCATTCCAAACCTCTCAACAGTCATGTTCTACTACCAGACTGAGTGCTTGCACTTGGAAGCATCTTTTCTGGGGACTGCACGTGTTGTTGGATGGCTAGGACTTATGGTTGGAACATTCACTTACAATCACTACTTGAAATGCATGAAATTGAGAAGAACTCTCATGTAAGCAGTTTAGTCCAAAAGCATCATGTCTTAGTTCTCATTTGCCAGATAAAATTTTCTTTGCTTTTGTTCTGTAATTAGGAATATAATTTTCTGACTCCAATTTCTTGATCACAAAATGCAATGCAGGTTGGCTCATGTTCTTCTGGCTACCTCAAAACTTTTTGATGTTGTCTTGGTATCTCGATCAAATCTTGCATTTGGCATATCAGATAATCTTATGGTGCTTGGCGGATCTGCGCTTTCTGATGCAATAAATCAACTGAAGTATGCGAACAGTACTTCATCTATAATTTTCTTTTCTCCCTAGTTATGAAAAATCCTGGTTTGGTTAAAAGCATAATATGAAGATCTTGCATTAATTTATGAAAATTTTGGATGTATCCATTGGTCAAATTATGTTTGGTGGGTGACACTGACCTTGGTAAGTTGGGATAATCTGAACTATACCTTATTGTTTGTTGATGGGCTCATAGATATTATTTCTTACTTGATTACGCAGGTTGATGCCGTTCCTGATCCTTTCTGGAAAGTTATGTCCACCGGGGATTGAGGGGACCTTGTTTGCCCTCTTCATGTCTATAAACAATCTTGGTACAACATTAGGATCGTTCTTAGGTGCTACTGTGGCCTCAGCACTGAACATATCATCTGGCTCTTTCGACAACCTTCTACTGGGGATCATCATCCAAGTTATTGGCATTTTCATCCCAATTGGCTTCTTGTTTTTGATACCCAAGGAAACTACAGGGATTTCAACTTAGATAAGAAAAGTTGCTTGACTTTTTCTTCACTTTTGGAAAGTCACTGTCCCATGTATAGAAAAAGAGAGTTCTAGCAATCTCTGCATTGTTGTTCTCCAGATGTCAGGGCACACACCACATACAACATACAGACAATTGGGATTATCCTGCTCCCTGATAATTTCCCATCTATCATCCAGCAATAGCATGGGTAATTCTTTTAAAGGATAGATGAATTTCTGGGACACAAGAATCAGACTGGCAAGGAGCAGTTAAACCACCAACTAAATACTTCATTTGGGACAATCTATTGGCAACTATTAGAATCTGGGAGTCGTTCTAGTAAACAATTTATTAGACTTAATAGAGCATCTGATTCATATTAATATCGTCTTTGACTTTTTACAGAAGTTAGCTTGCTTATGCAGTCCAAGTGAAAGGGGTGATAACCCTTGAATCTTATGGAGCATATATAGCATGTCCTCCTAAACGTCCATGGACTTGCTGAAATAGCCGGATGGTCACCTTCTACTTTCTTTTGGGGAGTTGGCATTTTTCCATATGTACACATCTGATACTGCCAACATGCTCATTTTTTGCTTATTTTTAGAGTTTTGAGAAATATATTTTACATGGAGAAGATTAGAACTCAATGTTGTCCTCTAATCCTTCAAGCTTTATCTTTTTCTTTTTGTATATTTGCTTTCTTAATGGCCACCGGGAGGAAAAGTTGATTGCACCTTGAACAGAAAGACTTATTTCTATATTGGTTTTTCCATTTCATTTTTCTTTCAATTGAGAAAGAATTACCTGGCGGAAATGGATGGTTTATTTTCTGTTTATTCCAGTGGGGCACGTATATGAAACACAGGGTAGACTCATTCACAGGGTGTTTGGTTCCGTTTACGTTTATTCACTAAATGTTTAACCAAGAAACACATTTAATAAGGGCGTTAGAAAAATGCCAATAAAGCTATTTAGGAAGCTCCAAAATGAAGCTTTTTGAAATGGGAGAGGTGTATAAAAATCGAAGTTTGCAATACACAAATGCATTTGTTGATGGGGCACCTATGTGGCACAGCCAATGAACGTAAATGGAATTAAATATATACTAAGTGTTTGGTTCCGTTTACATTTATTGAGTAAACGCTGTTACATAGGTGCCCTGTCAGCAAATGCCTCATTAATTGCATCTGTATGTATTGGTGTTTATAAAAGCAAACATCGATTTCTGTGCACCTCTCTCGTTTCAGGAAGCTTCATTTTGGGACTTTCTGAAATGGGTAGGTATTTATTGGTACTTTGCTGATGTATTGCCTATTTATCATAAACACCCTCATTAATTGATTTTCTCGATTTTGCATCCACACAAGTATAAAACGTTTGATCAATAAACGTAAATGGAAGAAAAAAGCAGAGAAAAAAGAATGGCATCCGAAGCTTTCCTCTATCTATCAGAGCTAGGTTTTAGTCATGGGACCTGTGGGTTATGGGCCCACCACGCTTCCGCTGCGCCACTCTGATTTATTGCTTAATAACATTAAAAAAAATCATTTCTTTTATAACGAATTAAGAACCCGCTCTCATAGAGAGGAACACCTACCTAAGCTTTTCTCTTTCTATCAAAACCAAGTTTGGTTCCTCGGATATGTGAATTATAGACCCACCAAGCTTCCACAATTCTAATATAATCTGTTGAGGACGGTTTGCCTTAGCTGAATTATTGATTATTACGGTATTGGTAGAGGTGTAAGTCGGGCCGTGCCACGGGGGCTGTGCTAGGCTTAGCACGATAGTCCGTGTCGTGATGGGCCAGGGATTCGTAATCCATGGGCCGACATGATTGTTCGTGCCGTGCCACCTGCGACCCATGTGTCGGCACGACCTAGCCCGCGATACGGCCCACAACACGGCCTGTTGTCCCCCCCCCCCCCCCCCCAAAGGCCCCTCCTAACAGCTATAAACAATAGGGGGGCATTTATGTATTTTGCTTATGGAGGGGAGAAAAAATGACATAAATGCCCCCCAACAACTATATAACAACTAGTTTAGGGGGGATTTTTGGGTAAAGTTATAAATAACTTTATAATGACCAAAATACCCCTCCCAACAACTAAAAAACAACTAATTTTTAGGGTATTTTGGGCAATTGAATTATGTTCAATTCCTATAAATAACCTTATCCTCTACCAATCTCATCATACCAATTCAACAATTGTCTTAATCTCTTCTCTCTCTCATACTCATACATTCTTTGCAATCTCTGATTGGCTGATTGTCTGATTGTCTGATTCTCCATTTCTAAAGTTTCAATTTTATTGAAGTTTCAACAAGAAGAATGCTTGCTCAATCAGCTCAAGTATCTCAATTTGGGAGGCTTGGACGTTGAAAGGCTTTAACCGTTGAAATCAAGTTGGGATTCTAAACCGGCAATCTAGATAAGTCCAATTAAATTAATTTTTATCCTTTTAGAATTAAAAAAATGGCTGGTTCTTCTCAAAACCGATTCCCCAACATGTTTACTATTGATGATGTTCAATCGCATTATGGTAGTGTTAGCACTAATGCTATTGATATTGATGGAAGTGGAACTTTCACCCCTAGTACTAATACTAGGGGAAAGAAAAAGAGGGCCTCTAAGTTGAGTAGCCTGGTTTGGAAAATTTTTAAAGTAGAAGATATCGAGGGGAAGGGAAAAAGAGCAGTTTGCCAAAAATGTAGAAAAGACTTTAGCTATTGTAACAAGGGTGGTATGAGCCATTTGAGTAGATATTTGCTCACACATGAGAAGGAAGAAGAGTGGGAGTTTTGGTACATTTAAATATTCACAAGAAAAAATGAGACAAGAATTAGCAAAGTATATTGTACATGTGGAACAACCATTTATATTAGCTGAAGATACTAAGCTTGAAAGATTGTTGCGTAATTCTGTAAATCCACAATATAAAAAAGTTTATAGGAATACTATTAGATCGGATGCTTTAAAATTTTTTTATTCATATAAACAAAATTTAATTTTTTTTGTTATCAAATCTTAATTCTAAAGTTGCAATTACTTCTAATGTTTGGACATCTAAATTTAACATAAGTTATATTTGTGCTACCGACCATTTTATTGATGAAAATTAGCTTTTAAATAAAAGAATTTGAAGTTTTACTAGGCTCGAATGGCCACATATTGGCCCAGTTATTACTGCAAGTATTATAAATACTTTACATGCTTATTTTCTATTAGTTTTGATAATGCCAACAAGAATGATTATGCAATAAATATTTTAAAATCTCAATTAAAACTATATTTAAATGGTAAATTATTTCATATCAGATGTGCATGTCACATCTTAAATTTATGTATTCAAGATGCCTTGAATATTATTTCTACTCATATTTTTAAAATTAGAAATTGTATTATATATATTAAAAGTTCAATGGAAAGAAAACAAGAATTTAAATATTTATGTCAAAATTATGGTTTAAAATATAAACATTTTATACTAAAACATAGGTGGAATTCTACCTATGCTATGTTAGAAAGTTGTATTTCTCATAAACAAATTCTTACTAATTTTTATAGTGCAAAATGCCTAATGATATTATATTTGAGGAAGACTGGGAAATAACAGTTGGTATAAGAGATTTTTTAAAATATTTTTATGATGCAATTAATGAATTATTAGGTATTTATTATCCAACTAGTTGTAATTTTCCTTATCAATTAATGATAATTAGTGATTATTTTTCAAAATATAGAAACAATCCACAATTTAAATGTATTGTTGAAATAATGGAAAATAAATTTAAAAAATATTGGGAGAACATTTCTCCCCTTTATTGTTTAGCTACAATATTAGACCCTAGGATTAGGAAAGATGGTTTAGATATTTTACTTGAAACATATTGTGAAAATATAAATATTGAAATTGGAAATAAAAAAGAAGAAATTAATAATTTATTATTTGAAATGTACAGTTTATATGAATATGAAACAATAGGAAATATTCCTACAACTTGTACAACATTTTCTACTTTTGATCTTGAGCTCAGTAGTAGAAGAGAAAAACTTCTTTATTTAATAAGTAGAAATTTGCTACTTCTACAACAAGTTCATTTATTGAACTTAGTTTTTATTTACAAGCAAATTTTTCTAGTTTAGGTGAGGGAGCAAATAATTTTGATATTTTAGCATGGTAGAGTGAGCATTCAAAAAATTATCCAGTTCTTGTCGCCATGACACATGATCTACTAACCCCGGTGTTTTATTTTTCACCCAAAGCAGATGATGAAAGCCATGATTCATGAAATTGACTAGTTGTATAGAACTTTTTATTTTTTTTTTAAATTATTGTAATTTTTTTAATTTTATTTAATTTATTTGTTATTTTTTAATTTTTTAACAATGTAATTTTGTATTTTCAATTTGTAACTATATTGTATTTTTTATATTTTATTAATTTTTTTCATTTTCATATTTCATTCATCCAAGTATCCAATGATCCAATCATTGTATTTGTAATTTGTATCATTCAAATTTAAATGAAATAAAATTCCTATTTTTCTTCCAATTTATTATTCCATCATTCTTATTTGGTTAAGTATTTTTTTTTTCATTTGTGTTAGATAACTTAGATTTCTCATTTCTCATTTCTTAATTTTTCAAATAGTTCCCAAAGTTCAAAGGAAAGTTAAATATTTTAGTTTTACACTTTTACTTAGAAAAGAAATAAAAAATTTCAAAAAAAAAACAAAAAAAGTAAAAAAAATTAGTCTAGCCTAGTTCAGCCCAGGCCCAAGGCCCGCCTTGTGGCCTAGCCCGGCACAGCCCAAGCAAATGACCCGGCCTAGGCCTGCGGCACGGCACGAGCCTGGGCCGTGGACCGTGTCGGGCTGACCCCCAAAATTTTCACCGGGGAGGGTGGCACGGCCCGCGGGCCGCCCACGGGCCGTGCCATGCTGGCACCTCTAGGTATTGGGTAAAATTTTTGAAAAACTAAAGTAAAGTCATCATCATCTCCCAGTTTCACCGATCTCAGCATCTCACTCAACATTCAAGAAACAAATAAAAAGAATGAAGAAGTACGAACAGTACCATTGCAGAATTCTAATTTCCACTGCAGATCTACAATATTTCAAAAGATCAATTACCCCCACCCTATTGACTAATGCCTACTTTTGAGAATTGGCATCAATTCCAAACAGATACCTATCCAACTGGATTTTGTGTCTATAAATTCTGACCCTAGGCTGAATCGTCATTCTCCCAAAAAAAAAATAACAATTAAACGCTCGGTCCAATTTAACTTACGTGGTGAGCTGGTCGCCCATCTTTTTGATCTTAGAAAAGCGTCTAAAATTAGAATAACTATCCAACTGAATTTTGTGTCTATAAATTCTGACCCTAGGCTGAATCGTCATTCTCCCAAAAAAAATAACAATTAAACGCTCAGTCCAATTTAACTTACGTGGTGAGCTGGTCGCCCATCTTTTCGATCTTAGAGAAGCGTCTAAAATTAGAAGTACCCTTTCTTAGATTATCACAAACAAGATGATCTAATCATATGGCCCATATGGCTGGCTACCTCTCTCTGAAATGGCTCTAACTGTTGGACTTAACTTCGATTATACCCTTATGGGTGGTGAAGACAGAATTCAAAGTTCTAACATGTGATAGCTGGGCACCGCTTCTCCCTGTAGAATTTTGTAAAGTATGGGACTCTGGGTTTGATTTTGTACTGCAATATGTCAAAGGGTTTTGGTTCAACGAGGACTATGTCAATTGTCAAGGCTTGCAGTGTTTGGATCCATATCAATCCTCCTAAGTTGCTCAATCCTCTCGGTGAATAAGATGAGGTAAATGTTTTTGCTCATCTTAGACAATTAATGTTAAAGGGTTTTTGCTCAATCGATATCAACATGTAATAGCAGCTGTGTGATACATGTCTCAGTTAATATATCTTTCATCCAAATGTTTTTGTTTTATTAGACAGAAATTATCTATTATTTTATTATTTTTGTCAAAATAATGAAAAAGGAAAACAATGAAAAAGGAAAATCTAAACGTATTAGGAGTTGGGATTCATTTACGTTTTTATATTTCATTGTTTTTTATTTTTAATTATTTTGACAAATAATAAAATAATGGATAATTTCTGTCTAATAGAACAAAAACGTTTGGATGAAAAACGCATTAATTGGGACATGTGTCACACAGCTATTACGTGCTCACTCATTGTGCTTACCTAACGTGCCTACTACATCCGGACCCCAAGAAGAGGGTGGGTGGTCAAAATGCAATGTGCCTTGCAGCCTGCCAGTGCTGGAGATAAGAAGAGGAAGGCCCTTTAACCCTTCTGCCTTTGAAGTTAAGAAGGGAGAGATTTGTCAAATGTTTGAAGCTTTTAAAACAAAGTTTTGGCTTTTGGGTAGGGGTGTCAATTGGACCTGATTTGGTCCAATGTGAGTCCATTACAAATGGACCAGGTCCAATCCAATCTAATCAATATTTTGGACCAGTCCAATTCAATGTTTAAAACAATCCAATTTATTCAAATTAGTTTTAATTTAGACCTGTTTCAATCCAACCTATCTGGTCCATTAACAGCTGTATTCTTATCTTTTATCAATGGACTGGATATTAATTCAACCTGACCCAATCCAATATAAATCCATTAAAGATGGATCATGTCCAACCAATCCAATAAATACTTTGAAGCATTAAATCTGGACTGGAATATTATCATTGTTTTCATGTCCCACTACACAGCTAAGGCCTTCAGATAATCCAAATTCATCTAATCCATCCAAATTAATTTTGCTTTAGATGGGATCCAACCCAAAACAGGTCCATTGACACCCGATATCCCCCTTTTACCAAAAGAATCAAGAACTACAAGAACTCAAACTATTAGATGAGTTTGCTTCTCTAACTGAGTGATGAACAGGCTTGAGAGCTCATCTGGATCGTCACAAATATTTAAAAGGGCAGGAGTCAACCATTGTGGCAGCATCTTCCAAACAACAAACTTTAGTGCTGTATGTTTCAGCCTTTCAGGGGTTCAAATTTCAAAGGCTTTCATTTCAAACAGAGTAGAGTACAAATGCCCAAACCTCTAAATTCCAAACTTTCTGTCACTCGCAATTATACGGCCCCGGTTGAATCATGATGGTGGCAAAATACAGCTTCATTGTCTGATTTGAGCCTTCCACACAAGACATAGTGGTCCCTCCAGTCCAGACACATAATGGGTCCGTGGGTAGGCTTAGGACCATTGTTCGTCCAGACTGGAAAAACCGGGAATCGATCAGATGATTGGTTCTATTTTTCTTAAAAATGAATTTTTTTATCAATGAATCGTTGAATCGGACAATTAACCATTTGAATCGTCAATAGGCCTCACAAATAGGACTGATGTGGCAGTTTTTTACTGGGCCATTCACCATAAGATGAAAGGATGAAAGGGAGAAAACAATCTTTTTGGTCCAAATACCCTGAGTTCATTTTTCCAATTCCTCTATTTTTTCTTTCAAACTTGATCAAATCTATGATTATATGTTTATCTATTAATGCGAGGCCCCGAGATCGGGAGCACATGTGAATTCTCTTGGGTTCCATGTGCACTCATGTTCCATAATTAAGCATATGTGGTGTGTACTTTGTCTTCTCTATCAATTCCCTTTGAAAAAGAATGAAGAATAGGGTGGTTGGTTAAATTATATTTCTGTCATCACATGTTCATCCCATCATCTTTGCCCTGCATTGATTGGAAAAGAAAAAAAAAAAAAAAATTAAAACTTGGGCGAGTTGATGTAACCATAAAATAGCGCAGATAGAATTAATTGCCTACAAAGAAATTAAGGCCGTGTTTGGTTTGAGTGTAATTTTATTTACATTAATAAAATAAAAAAATGAAAATTCTGATTTATTTTTATTTTGGATTTTACTCTATTTTGCTTTAGGTCTTATTTTACTTTATTTTTATTATAATCAAATAAAATAAGGTAAATTTGAAATAAAAATAAACCAGAATTTCCACCCAAATTATTTACACTACCATAGGTTTGCATTGATGCAAATAAATTTGCATTGCAAGTTTACAATCAACCTAAAAGATAAAAGGAGAAGAAAATGGCATGGTTGGGTTAAATGCTTTGTCAAATGTCGCCCAATTATAGTATTCTCATTGAATCGTCACTCAAATAAGGGGTCATGGTGAGGATGAGCCATTTTTGGGCCGTTTGGTTTGCGGTTGGATTAGGAATCAAAATTAGAATTGGAATAAGTTGGAATGGATTCTCATTCCCAAGAGAAGGGGGAGGGGGATGAACATTTCCTCAAATGGGAAAATGCCATTCCACCAGGAATGAGCTTCTGATTCCATTTCCTAACCCCTATTTGGATGAACCAAACAGACTCTTATTTATTGAATTATTTATTTATTTTGCATTACATGTCTCACACTACAAGGGACTGAATGCTGTTGGGGAGGGCTTTCATGCAGTGGCTTCTGGGTTTTGTAAGGCGGGCCTCATAAAAAAGCCAAAAAGCTATATTTGGTTAAAACCCCATATAGCCCTAATATGTTTTGGTTCAGTCATGAAATTGATCAAGCCCCAATATGTTTTGGTTCAGTCATAAAATTGATCTTTCAATGAAAAACAGTTTAAAAAGGGTTCTAAAATAAGATAGAAGCGTCTGTAATGGAGGGATGTCATTAGGTGGGTCCGTGGGTGGAATTGGATTCATATTAGAAGCTATCTACCAAATTATAGTAAATATGTACTGTATCTGTGTATTTTCAAGACAAAATTATGTCCTAGTTTTTGGAGTGAGAGTAAATGATATATATGCTTTTTTTTATGTCCATAAGAATAAAAATGTCTAATAAAAAGTCCATTTATTAATAATATAGATATAGATATAGATATATATTCAGATGGCCAAAGGGAATGAAACCCATTTAGCAATTTCCTTTTTTTACAAGAGTGGCTCATTCGTAGTTATGTCGTTTGTACCCAATTTTCCGATGGGAGCGCGCTCATTGGATGGATACTAATGGTGGTAAACTGGTAAAGTGGTAACTCTTGTAGTTTTTGACAAAGCCGAGGGCACTCTCAAAATGTTGGTCTTGAGGCTTAGCTGCTTCTACAGCTGCGGCGAATTATTGAATTGAATGACAAAGGGAGGAGGATGAAGGATCTGTTCACACGTTATTTTATTTCCCAACTACCAAACATCTCTCTCGATTTCCCTCGGTGGCAAGCCAAACGCTGAAGCTTAGGTGGTGGATGTGGAGCAAAGGCAAAGCCAGTTTTTCCTTCTAGTTGAGTTTAGACTTGGACCGTCAGGTAGACTCTCTCTCTCTCTCTCTTTACTATCTCTCGCTGTCTGTCTGCTAATCTCTTGGATTCTCACCTTCTTCTTCATCTTCTTCTTTGTTTCACAGTTTTTGACTTTTTTTGCAGAGCTTCTCACGCAAAGAGGCTCCAAGAAATAAATTTAAATGACGAGGCTTACTCTCAATGTCTCACCGATGGCGTTTGGAGTCGCTTCTTCCAATTGGTGGAACGAGATCAATGAGTCAACTAGTTGGCAAGATGGGATCTTCTTCGCTCTCTGTGCTGCTTACGCCCTTGTCTCTTTGGTTGCTCTGGTCAGTCTTTTCTTCTCTTTTGATTTGCTGCCTCCGTTTATTGAACCGTTGTTTGGCTGTTTTCCAAGTATTTTTCTATTTGAACTAAAACAAAGTTTATTTTTTTTTTACTATTTCCTGATATCGGCATTGTTGCCGTAGTAAATTTCAGGTTTTAATTAAAGCTCTTGTTTTGCAGATAATTGGTTTAGTTTCTCCTTTCTTTTTTCATTTCAAGTAACGAGATTCCATTGTTAATTTTTGTTTATTTCGGTGGAGCTCCGATGAAAAATAAGATTATTGCGTAAATTTTGAAATTTTCTTTTTTCTGTTTTTTCTTGGTTACTAGTTACTACACGATGCAGAAGCTCCGGAACCTTACAAGATTTGAAATTTAGGGTTTGAAGATGGTTGAGTAGTTAGTTGAACTTACACGACGCATCTAAGTTAGAATGCTGAATGTGATTGTCCTAAGCGATTATTTTTGGGGATGTCTTTTTGAGGGATCATCCTTTTCCATTGTTGTTAATGCTATGCAGATTCAATTAATCCGGATTGAACTCAGAGTGCCAGAGTATGGCTGGACTACGCAGAAGATTTTCCATCTTATGAACTTCATTGTTAACGGAGGTGATTTTAGATTAGATGCCTTGGTTATTACCTTGTCATTTGGATGTCTATTTTTATTGTTTTTTTCCTTTTTATCTTGCCCCCCTTCTAACCATGGGATTGTTTACTGTAGTGCGTGCAATTGTGTTTGGATTTCACAAACAAGTATTTCTTTTCAAGCCAAAGGTGAGCTTGATGCTGCTCCCGACTAATTTCTAAGTTTCCTGGTTTTGATTACGATTTTTTTTTTTTTTGAGAAAATGAAATCGTCATTTTAACTTGATAGCTGTGGATTACAATTCATCTCTAATAACTTTGTTTAATGCTACATTGTTGAAGTTTTTGTTATCTTCACAAGATTGGTTTCCTCAGATAGGGGTTGCTTGACAAAAATAGAAAGTCATCAGATTGTTTTTTCCTTTTGTTTCCTTTTCTTTGTTTGAGTTTTCATCAATTAATTGGGAAGGGAAGCAGGATTTTCTTCAGTCAAGCAAGCAAATTTGTGCTTACAACTTAATAATCAAATACTGCACTATCACTTATATCCATTGGGGTAGGGGGATGGCCACACGGCCCACACCAATCATAGAATCATGTGACCAACAAAATTAATGATTTTTTGTGCATTATTTTTATTGATGTGAAATCTGATTTAAGCACTAGAAATGGTAGCCGAGAAAAAGAAAGAAAGGAGGTTATTCATATGGGTTGCTTTTGTTTTTGAAAGTGGAAAAAGAACAGACAAAATAACTGAATCCACATGGAGATATGATATGGCTGGTGCCACTAGGATCTTGTTCCTGTTAGTGGCTTCAAAATGTAGCTCTTCTGTAAAGCTGAAGTATGTATTTAAGTCAATGGCTAATAAAACAAAAGCCTACTATTTATGTATTATTTATACTGTATCTCATTCTTACAAATCACAAGTCTTATGTAGTTTAAGAGAATGTATGGATGATTTTGCACTAGATGACAATGACATCTGATAAGAGGCGTGTTTCTTGAACCAGGTGTTTACTTTGGCGTTGTTGGATCTTCCTGGACTTCTGTTCTTCTCTACATACACACTCCTTGTCCTATTTTGGGCAGAGATATATCATCAGGCAAGTGAAAATGCCCAGGGATTTTTCACTGTGGAAAGTGATACTGGTTAATAATTATAAGGGTTTAGTTCCTTCATGTCACTGAAAGAATAGTAACTAGTGAAGTTTGTATTGCTCAAATGTTTTCATTGATGGGATGCAGACCAACAAACGCTCGTTTGGTATTTTACTGTCTTCTGAATTTGTGTTAGGCCATAAGTGTAGAAATAATTCTGACTCTTTTCAATTCCTAATGATTGACAGGCAAGAAGTCTTCCAACAGATAAGCTCAGGCTTGTATACATTTTGGTTAATTGTGGAGTATATTTGATACAGGTGTGCATCGCCTTTTTTCTATCTTTTCTTGCACAACCTGCAAAATAATGCATCTTTACTGGCAGATAAAATTTCATTCCAATGATCTAGTGTTGCCAGAGCTGGATTGGATTAGATACTCCAACCCAGTGATCTAGTGAGCTTTCTGGGCCCTGGTTTTTTGTTCATATTTACCAGAAAAATGATTAAACCACTAGTTTAACCAGTGATCTGATTACCAGTGAGCTTTCTGGTTTATGTCCAATCTGGGTCTGAAACAACCTGCAATTTCAAGTACTTTCCTACCAAACATTTGTGGTTGGGGGTGGGAGCAAGTACATGTTCCCATTACCTGCAGGGTTCTTGGCTTTGTATTTGGTTGTTCCTTGCTGATGCACTAGGCCCAAACTAACCTAACTCGATAAACATAACCATATGATCTTTTGCATTCTCTTCGACTGCCCAATTTAATCATCTATCTATCTAGGAGATTCATGTTAAGGTTTTCAACAACTTATTTTCTGCTTATGAAGTGTAGGCATGCTTAGTCTCACAAGAGAGGCTCATTTTGTGGGGTGTGCCTTGCCTGAACCTAGGTGCCACCTCTTGCTTTGGCCTTTTGCTATCTTTGATGAATTAACCTTCAGTTTGATATTTACATAATTTAGTATATTGTAGGTTGTACGTTTGGTGCTCAGGGTATAAACAGTTTAGCTTATGTAGGACTTGAACATATAAAGCTACAACCTTTGTGTTGATAACATGATACTCTGACCAATTGAGCTAATAGGCTTTTTGAAACATGTGTATCAGGTTTGTATTTGGATATACCTATGGATAAATGACAACAGCACTGTGGAGGCCATAGGAAATGTATTTATCGCAGGTTAGCCTAACCATGAATATGATAAGGTTCTTGCAATTATCAGCATGGTAGTTGAGACTTCACTTAGCAATCATGAATCTATGTATTACTTGTTGGTTCATATGCTAAAAGTATGCATGCTTGTTTCATTTTCTGTCCAGTTGTATCCATTAGCGCATCACTAGGTTTCTTGCTGTATGGAGGAAGGTGTGCCTTCTGTCTTTTCAGTCTACCGTATCTATACATATGCACATATCTCTATTTCCTTTTTTTTTAATGGAACTGGTCCTCCTATACAGATGCTTTTGGTTCTACTTAAATGATGGTATCTGGTGTTTGCTTGCAGACTATTTTTCATGCTGAGGCGCTTCCCTATTGAATCTAAAGGGCGGAGAAAGAAGCTTCATGAGGTATCTGTTTCTCCTTATCAAGTGGGCCATTGAATTATAAAAATAACGCAACTTTCAGACCCAGATTGCATCAGATAATATTTTTCATATTTTTTTTATTTCCTATAGCTTCTATTCTAATTACTTGGTAGCTTGGAAGCTTTATTACTATCATTCATGAAACCTCTGAAGGAATGCCAAAGGGTATTAGAGGCTTGCACCTTGAAGGATAAGTTCCATTATTTTATTTTATTTTTTATGTTTTTTCCTTATTTCTTTCTTTGGTAGGTAAATGGGCTAAAACAGTGGGTAGCCCTTCCCAATGCTTAAACCCTCAATCCCTGGTGAAGGCAGGATTATATGCCGAGCCTCCACTACAACCAGTTAGAGACCTTACCAGCAAGCTAGCCGTCACTTTCATATAAGTTATATTGAATCTTTTGGTATGAAAGGTCTAATATTTGTCAGAAGACAGAGCTCTAGCCTTTAGAGAAGATAATGAAACGAGAAAGATAGTAATCAAAACATGCTGTCATTTTTTAAACCGACAGAAGTATAATTTGTTGTTTTATTGCTCCTTGATTCTTATGTTAAAGCCATGCTTGTTTTGGAGCTACTCTTCATTAATAAATATATATGAGTTTTCTCCAATATTTTATATCAAGCTACATGGTGCTGAGGAAATAATCTTTGTCTGTAATTGTTTTACTTCAACCTCTGTCTGGAAGAGGAATTTTATTATAATTTCAAAGTATTTTCATTCTTATAACATGCATGAACTTCTGCAGGTTGGATTTGTTACAGCAATATGTTTCACCTGCTTTCTTATAAGAACCTCTCTGGTGAGTACCATGGTTCCAAGCATAATGTGTTACATTCCTATGTGAATCAGTAAACCTGCTTTTTAAGAAAGATATGGCATGGAGATACTTGATTGAGAACTATGAGGCTTGAAGAATGTGTTCTTCCTGCCTATGTCATCCGGTGGCATGTAACTAGCCTTCCAGATGACCCTTTAGTGAATCACATGAAAATACCAAGTTTATCATCCTACTGACATGATCTGCCACTGCAGAAAAAAAAAATGCAAAAATTCAAGAAGGAATTTTACAAAGGTTTTTGAACAAATTTCCCTGAATTTTAACATGTGTTGCAGTTGCTAATTCCATTAGTAAAATTGTAAAAACTAATAAACATGATATTTTCGTGATGCTCATTTGAGAATGGAGTAATTGAAGATGTTTTTCTTCCCTCTTCTTCTGTTTGAGTAGTTTCTTCTGAACCCCCTATCAACTAAGAAAAAGAGAGGTTGTTTAATAACTTTGGACGACACTTGAACTGGCTTGATTAAGAAGATTCTTCAGTGTCATAAGAATTAGCGTTAATAATCTGAGTGACTTGCTACCTTCTTTCTCGTTGTAAAACAAGAGAATCTGCTTAAGTTGGATTGTTCTGTTGAGTTAGTGCTCAAGGTTTTTATTTTATTTTATTTTTTATTTTTATGTAATACACCTCAACAATGTGTGCTTGAATCTGCACAAATGGCACTAGGTAGTTCAAGTATTTTATCCTGTCCCAAAGAGAAAGAAATAGAAGGATTGTTGGATGGTGATTTGGGTGGGCCAAGGATTAAAATATTGATACCATATGCCCCATTTTCATCAAAAATAAATAAATACATAAATAAAAGGTACCATATGCCCCGTATTGGACGTATTGTATCCATATCAGTGCACCTAGACACGCATGGATACACCAATACACTGATATTTTAAAAATTTTAAAACTTTGGTTGCCTTCTTTTATCCCTCTAATGCTTATAAAATAAAAAAAAGTAAAAAAAAGGTGGAGTATCGGCGATATCTATATGCAAATATGCAATGATACCCAACTTTGAGTATTGGGTGTATCAATATTTTAAATCCTTGGGGTGGGCTTCCCTGTGGCATCTTTTGGCTTTATGAGGTGGCAATGTTTGGTGAAAGACCCTGAAAGCTCAAATTTGGCTGTCCTGCCAAAAAGAAGGCTTTCTGCTGAAGCTTTTTTAGTGACTTCTCCAAAGCAGATCATCCAAAGCATCATGTTCCAAATGGGACATGAATTTGCTGTTTCGGTCCCAGACTATGTGCCCATGAAGAGGGATAAAACATTTAAAGGTGCATTATAAAATGTCCAGCTGTCACAATGCGTAAGAACATGCCTCCAGAAAAAGAAAAGAAAAAAAAAAAAGCTTGTCACTAGATGTACGAGATTAACAGTGCTGTATGGCCCTGTACTGGGTTTTGTGTTGCTCTAGGCATCTGGTTCAGTGCCTAGTTTTTATGATGTTGTTACTTTCTTCATTTATAGTTGGTTTGCTCAAACAAGGCTTGCTTTGCTAAATTTTCGTGTGGATAAGAAAAGATAAAAGAGTTCGACTAGCAAAAGTTTTATAGTGCTGCATGGAGTTGGATTTACCATGGTTCTGTTAATTCTTAAATTGCAGGTTCTTTTATCTGCCTTCGATTCAGGTGCATCTCTAGATGTTTTGGATCATCCCATTCTGGATTTTTTCTATTACATGGTAAAATTTCAAGCATGTACAAATTTCTTTGTTTGATAACCCAATTTTTCAGAAACAATTCAGTCTTAGAATGTTCTGACCCTCTATTGCTGAAAACCAGTTGGCTGAGATCCTACCTTCAGCACTTGTCCTCTACATCCTGCGCAAGCTCCCTCCTAAAAGGGTATCGGCTCAGTATCACCCAATTCGATAGTCCTGTCACAGATTACCTTTGTTCTTCATCAACAAACTCAAAGCACATCTTGAGTTGCGGCTTAAGAGTAGACAGAGAAAGAGGCATAGTGGAAGAAAGATCCAGATGTATTATTCTGGCATAGCTCGTTGCCAGGGCAGTACTTTTGTATGTAAAATATGTGGCGCTCTTTGCAGCTTGCGGAGAAGGATTCGTTGATCAGGTTACAACCATTGATTTTGAAGAGCTATGGTGTCTGTTTTGGAGTTCCATCCGGTTGACAAATCAAGAGGGGTCTTCGTATTTATTTCGACATGGCACTCTGCTGTTGGTGGGTGTGGGTCTTGAAGGGTAAATTATTATTTTTTTCTAGGTTCAGTAGGGAACTTGGAGAATTGTTTTATTGGGGTCATTTGAAATGTGGGGTTCATGTTGGATTCTGTAGTTGAATCTTCCTAGAAATGAATTTCCTTCTTCTACGGTGGTGAATTTTCTGGTTTTTTAAACTTGATTTTAGTTGCTGCTTTTGGTTAATGGTACATAACAAGTGTAAAATACTAGTCGTCCTGTACGAGCTTGGATTAAAACAGAATTTGAAATCGAAATGGATGGAGGGGTAATTCGAGTGGGGCAGGAGGTATGGTTAATGATGGCAAAGCATTAAACAGGGCTACTCACTGGGCGTCGTATTGATACTTTAACCACGTGAGGTGTTGCTTTCATTCCCACGTTGGAGGTTAGACATCTGCACCGCATCACGAGCTAATGACCTCGCATTGTCACCAATCGGTCTTTCAGTGTGGCATTTGACCGGGCCTTTGAATGTTAGGATCATTTCAATTCAGTGAACGATCCGAATCCACCGGCAAAATCCAACCGTAATTTATGGTATGTTCCAGTCCGGGAAAAATTAAAAAAATGTTTTGCAGGAAGGAGGCATGTGGACCACAAGAACAGGGAGAAACAGATCCGAGTCCGACACCCCATATAGTTGGGTTGGGAACTTGGGACAACTGACAAGGCTTTGCCTCTGCTGAATTTATGGGGCGAGAGATTAAAGTCCCTAGACCCGAGCTGAGGATTAGGAATCCCACCCTTTGTATCCTTTTGTGCATACGATGAAATAAGGCTAGGATCCGAATTCCATTGGCCATTCTCTGTTTCATATTTATTTTATGCATACCCTTGCGTAGGCAGATGCTTGTGTTACGGTCTCGCTCGTCCACCACAGCCCTTTTCAAATAAATAACAAGAGTACAAGAAGGGTCGAGAGTCATAACTCGCTAATTAGTGGTTACATACTTACACTTGCACAGTCGGTGGTCAGTCGGGTCCTTGCTCCTTGGTCGTGTGTGGTGGCCGAAAGGGCGACAGTCGACTCGGCGGTCGGCATTGCTCTTATTTTTCTATTATGACCTATGGGTTTGAAAGTGAACAACTTCCACTAGTCATAACTCGCTACCATTTGCCATTCTCCCTTCTTTTCACCCCAACTGCCCACATGAGACTCCAAGTCCAAACCAACAGTCAAAGCAATCTATCTGGTTCAATCGGAATTATAATACTGGATTGAGTTTTGAACATGGAACCAATAAACTATTCATGGCCGAAGTGAACTGAAAAAACGAAACAAAGGTCTTTAGAGATCTATTCAGCCAACTTCTACGATCATACGATGCATGGTGGCTAAAATTGGACTTTCTTGTTCAAGGCTATAGAAGCAACGAAAACAATTCTATTGTTAAATTGTAAGTGTCACATCGAATGATACCCTGAATCTTAACAAATATACACAATGGATGTAATTTTGCAGAGGGTCAACTATTACAGAAGGTACAACTAGATAGTCTCCACTCCCAGATTTGAATTCCAGGATTCAATCTTCAAATCTACCTAGCAGCAATAGCGGCAACGTTCTAAACCTGGCATCCCAACATTGTTAATTTAACTAAGTATGGAATGAAAACACAAACACAATTACATCACCTCCGTGCCTATCACCTGAGTGGATTACGGGGCTCACCTGCAGCTTTCCATCTGCAAGGGAAGAAAAAGTTCAACCATGGCTACACCCCAAGGAGTTTCCGTTCCCTCACATTTAGACTAATCTTGGTGATCGTCCTCTGCTGGTGGGGGAGCAAACCTCACATTTGCTGGCCAAGTTACCACAACAGTTTCATCAGTAAACAGTGCCTTTATGAACGAAGGAGTCTTCAGTGGGCGACGACCAGTCATCCGTGGATATACGTCTTCGAGGAAATAATATGCATGGCCAGCTATCATGCCCTGAGGCAGGGAATCGGTTTTTAGTAGAACAGCAAATGGGTCCTTCTGGACAAATAACAAATGGTTACAACTGAATCTTGACAAATCTTTTTATATTTTTTTCTTTAGACACCTAATCACCTATAGGTTGCACAGAATTTTCTAATCACCTATAGGTTGAACATTTATCATAAATGGTATGTATGCAAATCCAAACAAAATTAACTAACAAAGTATGGTTATCAGATGTGCTGATTTTGCTTAAAAAAAAAAAAAAACGTTTAATAAAACACAAGCAGATGGTTTCTCCAAATCAAAGTTACTATTTTTATTTTCTTTTTAGTTTATTTTAGATAGCTAAGGATTTCTGGGCATCTAATTCTTCATTTCTTTTCTGAGGAGCTTAAATTGATTTCAGACAAATATGTTTACTGGGAAGAATATGTAATTTTAAATTAAAAGGGAAAAGGTCTTCAGTCTTTGGGCCAAACGTGGTAATTCCATTAACAGATAAATAAAAATAACTCCAGGTTATCCACATGGACAGTGCCCTCATACACATGATCCCAACATGGTGCCATGTAAAACACTACCTCACTAACGATGAGTGTTTAATTAAAAGGAGGGACACTAAAAACATTCTTCTTCAGCCATGAGAAAGAACACTATCAGCTTAAAGCCTTTAACCAATAAAAAAAAGGACTATCAGGTTAAAGCTTTTAAATTGTGCATCTGGGGGGAGGCTGAGGTACAGAAACAGGTGGATCTGTTATGGACGCTTTTATTGGGAAGCAGTATCGCCGCCGACAGCAGCAGTAAAGGGTGTTCTCATTTTATCTAATTCAGTGTTCTATCTTATCTGTTTTCAGCAGTATAGATCAGTAAGGAGTCTATGGATTAGTAGGGAGTCTTATCTGTTATGTGTTCTTATCTAAATTCAGTAATATAGATCAGTAGGGAGTCTTCCAAAAAATAGGATTCTTATCTTCTTGTAATTTCCTATTTAAAGGAATTAATGATATTCAATAAAGGCATCGAATTTCTCAGTCAAGACAGAGTAGAGGAGAGTTGGTGATCTCTTGAACAATCACCATTAAGACGCCAAAGATAGGTTCCTCAAGAAAAGGGAGGAACAAGGGGAAACAAGAGGTTTTCCCCGTTGACCGACCTGTGACGAGATCCTATTCGCGGGGCCCTTAACAGGATCTCATGGACCTGCTACCTCAAATGCCATGTGTAAGAAAAATCACTTATCTGAGCCAATGGCACAGAAAAATATCCACTAATCATATCACAGTGGGTTGTGTGTGAGGTCAAGAAACATACCAGCAAATCCACCCAAGCGCTAGTGCCAACCAGTACAGAGAATCCCAAAAGAACCTGTAATTGAGAATGGAAAAAAAATCAAGTGTTGCATTAACCACCCAAGTTGCAAATGATAATGGTACAAGTTGGAGACAGGATGTGATTAATTTTCGCTGCATTATCATTTTCCCAATTTACCAGGTTCAATAATCCAAAATTCCAGAAAGGCATAGAACTAGAACAGGAGACAAATAAGCATACGAATAGTAATCCATATAGTGAGAATAAGTGAAGCACTGTAGAAGTCTTCCCTCAAAGAAATACGTCAGGCATATTGAATTTAACTAGATTAATTCAGGACAAAATTTTCATATAAAGCCTTTCTTGATTCCATTCCCTTGGGAGATTGCCAATTTGTTAGCATTCTAATTTTAAGTATTGCTCATTGTGTAAGCATTTTGCAGAAACCTTTAATTTGAGGAATGCCATTTATAGAAATTATGTTGTAAAATATCCTAGCTGAGTTCATGATGCTTAAAGAGACTGGCCAAAGTGAATGCATATTAAATAAAAGGAAAGAAGCAAACATGGCAAAGAAAATCACCGGCACTTCATAGTCCCGCCATTATCTTCCATTTGTACAAGTTAAGGACAAAATAGCACAATGATGGCTTTCCAACAGGATTCAAAGATCAAAATATTATGTAGAAGGTTGCTGATGTATAAGTGGGCGAACAAGTGCCCATATTGATGAATTAGAAGTGTGGGAAACTTCTTACTTTTTAAACAAATGGAATTCAGAAAACAAGCTAGGGTTAATTTCTATGTCGATCCTCTAATAGTAATGGCTGTATCTTTTTATCTAAAATGGTTTATGTACTGTTCTGAAAGGGTAGATAAGGTGACTTCCTGCTTTACAAGTTATCTTGCAGCATAATTGATCATTACTTACCCATGGTAGGTAAGCTGCTGTAAAAGTAAAAAGTCCCAAGAAACTCATATGGATAAAAGGATTCTGCTTGCTCCATACATAAACCTGTAGAGAAGAGAGTTGTAAGAATACTCACACTTATCTATAACAAATAAAGAACAGTAAACGTAAACAAAAGAATGCTTAGCCAAAAGAAAGGCATAAGAAAGAAAATGTTGAACTAACTGACCATCATGAAGGTCAATGAATTGCTTAAGAAGAAAATTTTTGCAAAAGACTCTGACACAAAAGGTATCATCACACCAACAAGTACTATGATAGTTAAGACGGTTGCCCCAAACAAGAGCATGTAAAAGAAATCTGCAGTCCTTCCCCTGAAGGAGTTTTCTTCAAGAAGCTTGCAGTACCGAGCAAGAAAGAACATGTGGAATAAGAAGTCCAAATCTGTCATGACAAAAAGTAGTAATTCAGGTAAAAGATGTGTAGATAAATGAGAATGATCATGGATATGCATAATAAGGTAATAAGCAACTTTTCCTAATGAATAGATTAAGATATGCTAAACTTCATGTTATAATTTATGTGACTCAAAAATTACTTAATGAGCATGTCAAGGTATATTTGGTGATCAATTTCTTACTTATGAGCCAAAAGGCAGAATATTCAAACATGTTGGCAGGCAAACAGTGACATAAATGGATATGGATGAAGGAAGAGAGGAACCCCCACTATGGATAAAAAACGAAACAAAACCACAATGAATTATTTGGTGCAGTATTTCAATTATTTACGATTGATAAACTCTTTTGTAATTCCTCATCCAATTTAACACTTTCACTTATCAACATTTTGGCTCTCAACAAATACAAATATGAATAGTACAAAACCTTGTATGTTGCATTTCTAAACCTTGTATTAATGTACATATTTATATTTGTTCTCTTTCCAAACTGAGCCTTAGTTCAAAGAGAAGAAATATCAAATGATAGTATCATTTCTTCCGGATGGATAGTTCCATCTGTATCTGATCACAAGAAGCATAGTTTCTTTTGGGGGGATGGTGGCTGATTGCGTCATAGGCTCACAACCATTCTTGTGGTGAACCTTGTGCAGCTAGAGGTCAGGACACCCAAAAAGAAGCCCCCAACGAGGCTGAGATTATTAGTTCAATGAAAAACAACGCATCAGGCTAAGAGTTAGACCATAAAATGGGCGATCGCTAGCACAAACTGCCAATTAGATGTTCACCTCGGATGAACAATGTAAACCACGAAAACGTAAACAGACTAACAACATTCCACAGGAACTTTAATGTTGTTTAGTACGAGACAAATTATATTTCAAAATTAGAATTCTGCAATTACCCATTTTCCTGAAGTAGAAGAAATTTGTGATGAGCCGCCAGAACTCATAATGCTTAACGACAAGAGTTGGGTTCAAATACAAATGATAAGGAGAGATTATCTGCAAAAGTAAAGTAAAAAAAGTACATAAATCGTGGAAATAGAGTATCAAAAATCAAACAATTTTCATTCGTAATTTATAAATTCCTTCATGTAACATTAAACGACAAAACAAAAAAAAAAAAAAAACGAAAGTAGACGGAAAAACGAGGTTCCTAGAAGTGAAAAGAGCCCAGAGCTGTACCATTCATCCGAATTGAAAACAACCCAATTTACATAAATTCGATTTGATCAACCCCAGTTACCCGGAAGGAGAATTTTCACGTGAAGAAAACAAGGTATTAATAAAATTCGTAGCGGAAATTGAAAACCTAAAACCCTAGACTTGATCTAATGCCTCAATAACCATAATAGAGTAGATAAAGATAAAAAAGAAAAAAAAACATAAATATAAATAAAAAAAAAGAGTAGATGAAATAACTGTAATCTATACCTCGAGCGAACATCCCACGGTTGTAACAATTGCAGCTGTAAGATATGACCGAGTGATGATTGGCATCTGCTTGTACCATTCTTCAACAGCTTGAGCCATTTGTAGATTTCAGGGATTGGGCAACTAGGAAATGAAAACCCTAACTTCGAACCTGATTCTTACAGAAACCAAAGCCAAAAAGGGAGGAAACAGTAGATTCCAAAAAGATCTGGAATTGCAGAATAGCTGCAGAGAAGAGAAAGATCGTGATCAAAGAAATAACACCACCATCAAGAGCACGAGAAATCAGAACTCAGCGTTTCTTGTACCTCAGCTAGACTCTTATTTCGTGTCTCTGTCATCACATAGTTACTGATTTGCCCTTGCATCGAATTTATCACCTCCAGTCCTGGGTCCATCGATTTATTAGCTACAATTACCTTACCTAAAGGGACGAAACGCAAACGAACAGTGGTTTCATAAGGGTATTATAGTCATTTCAGAATGAAGATGCGAGGGAAATGGAAAATACTGGTCCTGCCCTTTGGGTTGGGCCTTGTTTGTTTTTAATGAGTAAAAGTTGTGAATTTGTCGGTATCCCTACTCCCGCAGTAGTCTTCGTGTGAGTCATCAACCACAGCTTCCAAATTCTGATTGCACGGGTTCCAAGTCTACAGCCAACGTGGATGAGGTGACGAACCCCATCGATGCCACATAGACGATTCTGTTGTTTTGAATCTTGTTTGGTTCGCCGCTGAGTGCTGATGGTTTGTAATTTTTGCCGGTGTGAGTGTGAAACTCACTTTTAAAAGGAAACTGGGAGTGGTGAATTCGAATGGAGATCGGCTTTTTTGTATTGGGAATCTTCCCATTAAATAAATCACACAAGTACGGAAATATTTTCAATCCAAAACTGTGAAGGGCCATGTTGCACTGACGGAAGAAGCTGAACTCATTCCGATGGACTCCCACAGAACACGCCCCACACAGCCCATCCCCATGCATGGACAAATCTCCCCATACCAATATGATTCAGACCATAATTGACTGCAGGGGTTAGGGGTGGCAAATGGATGGATTGGGTATATCAATCCATCCATATTGACCCTCCAACCTATATTTATTGGTGTTAATGGGTTCTGGACTCACCCTAGCCCAAACTGTGACATTTAATATACTGAAGTTTCTCATAATCATAAAACTTTCTATATAGTTTTACTTAACAAAAATCTCTCCTGAACTTTTAAAGAATTCGACAAAAACCTTTCTTTCATCATTGGCCCAAACAAAAAAATGTTAAACCGATACATATATATATTTTTTTCAAATACCCATTTAATGGGTATTGAAGGTGGTGTTTGGCACCGTGTTCATCCCATGGATAGGACCACGGGATGAACACTCGTTCTGCAGGCTATAGATGGGACCGGTCTATACCCCAATTTCTCATCCACGGCAAAATCTCATGGTTAGGGACCGCCCACACTTGATTTTTGATCCCCTACTTCACACTTTCCCTCAAAGCCTGAAACCCTATTGTCAGTTTCACATTTTAATATTTTTTGTTAATAAAATATTAATTATTTTACTTAATTTTTTTATTTTTTTAATTTTAATGTTTTATCAATAAAATAAAATTTAAAATATATTTTTAATTATTTTACTATTATTTTTATAGAAAAATTAATATTAATTCATTGATGCAGTTTTCAATATATTTATCATATAAAATGCAAAAATTAGATAATTATGATTAACTATGTAGGTCAAGGTTTTCGAAACGCTGTTGACTCGGATGGTCGAACCGTTCAGCTTGGGAACCGTCCAGGCAAGCGGTTCCGTTTTACCCCAAACCCGGTTTTTGGCCAAAATTGTTGAAAAAGTCAACAACCTGTTGACCCGAGTGGTCGAACCGTCAACCCGTTCAATGATTTTTTACCATTTTTTTATTTTTAATTATTTTTTTTTATTTTTTTGTTAGAACGGGCCGTCCGTTTGAACCGTCGACCCAGAAACCGGTGGCCAGAATAATTTCATTTAAGGGTTGTTTTTTAAAAATGTTGGTATACATCATTCACAAATGTATATGAGATATATGGAATCAAAAAGTGTGGTGTGGACCGGTCCACACCACGCCTACAAAACACCACTGTGGGTGTGGACTGGTCCAATCCACACAACTTATCCACAGTTCAGAACATCTGTGGACTGTGGTGTAGTGTGGATTGGTCCCTGCCACAAGGTGTGGTGTGGACCAATCTACACCCACTAATTTCCAATTTCTCATTCACACTACGGAACGCCCTCGAAATAACTAACAGTAGAAGAGATGAAGAATAAAACACTCCATTATATTCATAAACTTCTGATTGTTTTCATGCTCTTCTAACTCTAATGACGATGATATGCTCAGATGTTCAGGCCTTTTTCTCTTATGGGAGGAGGGAGATGAAAGTGAGGATATGGGAGGAGCTAAGGAGGTGGAGAATGAGAGGGAAAAGGAAGAGGCGAGAGAGGGTGAGTGGGAGAGCAAAAACGCGATGGTGGTGGTTGAACATGGGAAGAGGAGGATGGAAAGTAAGGCCTTAGAGATGACAGAGGACACAGAGCCTACCAACGCCCGGTGATCTATCTTTTGATGGTTGCTCATCTCGTATCTGTGTCTGATTTACATCGCTTCTTCTTCTTTTGCTCTTGTCGCTTGTTGTCAAGAATCAGATTTCCAACCAAGCACCAACGATTAGGCACACATGACTGATATAATTTCTCCTCATTTCTCACTTCTCTTCTTCGTCGAGATGGGTATAGGCAAGGTTCAAAGTATCGGAAAGGTAATTTTAAGAGACGTATCAAGACACGCTTTAGAAACGTATAGATACGGACGAAAAATCAAGATTCGCATGGATACACCAGAAAATTCAAAAAATTTTTAGAAAATATGAACAATAATAAAAATGAGCTTTATGTGATTATAACTAATTTATTTAAACATAAAAAGTTATTCTTTAATGATTTATATGAAGTATTGGGATATAATTAGTAACCATTGAAAAATAATAGAAGARCTAAAATGTATGTGTATACATACTAATATTTATTAGTTAATATTTTTTTGAAGTCATTTATTAGTTAATATTTATTATATATAKRTTTAGATGATATTTATTATGTATACAAGTTAATATATTCCTTAATTTTTAATAAATAAATTTAACTTGTATCCATCTTATTATTATATAAATATTAATAATCAAATTTATAACATTTGTTGGGAAACATCCACCAAGACAAGAAAGATTACTTTAAGTATAAAAAAACATGTTATTCTAATAAGTAATTGAGGTTGGCATAATGGTTAATTAATTAGTGTTGCAAGCAAATGACTTTGGGTTCAAAACTTTTTGGGTATGTATCGGCATATTTCGTATTATATCGGCCGATACATACTCGAAACGGACCGATATAAGACCGGTACGGACCTGTATCAATTCGATACGGATGAAAAAATACGAAACCATTTAATTAGACATCTTTCATGTATCGGATCTCTTTCGAAACGATACGTATCGCCCGTATCGATCGATACGTTACGAAATTTAAAACCTTGTTTATAGGAACAATTAAGATAAACTGCATTATCATCAATCTTTTATAACTGGATTAATGGAAAGTCTTCTTCAACAGTAGTACAAGGAGGAGTATCGCAGAAACCAACGGTCATAGTACAAAGGAGAAATTTGTCTTGGAAATAGGTCCACCAAATCAACATGAAGGAACTTGTGCCTATTTATATGTCTCTCTGTCGTTAGTTATTTCAGTCCCCATTTTACAAAAGGGTAAAATGGATACTTAGAAAAAATTTGGGCATCGCTTTACCGTTTTCTGTCTGGGTTAATGACAAAAGAGAGGTTTTTGTATTTTATCCTTATTTTTTTCTATTTTAAATGCATTAAACATGGAAATACCAACTAAGAAAACATAAAAATGATAAAAGGTTCAAAAAATATTTTTCAAATAAAAATAAAAATAAAAATGCACAAAAACATTGAAAATGATAGATATATTTCATGTAAAACATAAAAAAATTATAGAAAAATAAAAATTTAAATGAAAGTATCATTTCACATAAACATAGAAAATTGCAGAAATTTGGAAAATATATAAAATAGAAATTGGATAAAAACCGAAGAATTTATAGAAAAACACAAAAAATTGCAAATAAATAACAAAAAATACAAGAAAATGTATAAACTACAAAAAAAAACAAAAACAATGAAACATTTAGAAAAATGATAAAATGCAAAGGAAATACAAAAAATAATATTAATTAATAAATAGTTAAATACGATTAATATTTAATTCCACCCCTATTCAATGAGTATTAAATAGTGTTATTACCAAAAGTTAATAAATACGGTTAGTAAATTACAAAAAATTAATAAATATTATTATTAATTAACTCATTAACAACATTTTATAGAAATTGAAAACTCTTTAACTAATTTCTATAAAATTGAGAATTATATTTAGCAACTATCTAAAAGTATAAGATTTTAGTTATTGTTATTATTATAATTAATAACCAAATACAAATGGGGGAACAAAATATTATAATGTTAGAAAATGAAACTATTAATTAATTTATATTGAATAAAAGATAAATTAGTGTAATTTTGTTAGCAAACTACCAAATAAAAATATATATTTAATAACAATTTAAAAAAATTCAATAAATCACCATAGTTACACAAATGTAATAAAATTTTCAAA